GCGCTGGGCCGTCTCCTCAGGAAGAAGCGTCCTCGGCCTCGCCGGGCCAAGCTGCAGCCTCCGCTCAAGGTGCGTGCGTGTTTTCCGCGCGCGTTTTTGTCCGCCCTGCGCTGTCCCGGTGGCTTTGGTTTCCTTGCTGGGATCGAGGGGTGCTGCGGAACAAGCCCGGTGACAGCGGGTGATGCTGGGCAACTCGTCAGTGGAGGAGCATGAGGGGAGAAGGGAAACTATGGGATGAGCTTCCTTCCGTTGTGGAAGGACGGGTCAAAGAGCGGCAAATAGGTTAGGAAACTGGAGGTGATAAAAAGCTGGGTTTGTTTTCTTTATTGGAGGGGATGTTCAGCGTTGGAAAGGCCTTTGCTCTTCACCTCTGTCTCGTTCCAGGCACATCTGCCCCTTCGCGGCTCGCCGTTTCCCAGGACGTTTACTCGGGCGGCAGCGTGCAGCTCTGGTCCGATTACCTCAACGTGCACTTGCATCCCAAGAGCATCTACGTCATCCGTCAGTACATGCACGATGGGTACGTCCTGGACGCCTGGTTCAGCATCTGGTGTCCAGAACAAGATCTTGCTTTTGCCTTCAAGGCAAAATTAAGAGGGAATAGAACAAGCTTTTTTTTTGTTTTTCAACCCCTTTTTTCTCTTAGGGACTGCGGTTGCCTGGAAGCCTTTGGACAGGGTGAAAGTCTCCTGCAGGATCCCGGCTGCGTGGAGGAGCTGGAAGATCGGTTGCACTTCTATGTGGAAGAGTGCGATTACCTGCAGGTCTCACAGCTCAGTCCCAGCTCCCTTTTCTCCCCAGAACCTTTCTGTTCACGGGGCAGTCGAATCTCAGCTGCTGCCATCATGGTGCACAGGGATTTCAGGTGCTCTGTGACCTCCACAATGGATTCTCTGGAGTTGGGGCCAAGGTGACAGAACTGCTCTGCGATGAGTACTCGGGAAAAGGGATCCTGACCTGGGGCTTGACTCCAGCCACGAGTAACCCGGGGGTAAGGAAAGGATGGGGACAACCAAGAGCAGGCGATGCTCTCGCGCCCCATCTGGATTAGAGCGTTTCCTTTCTGCGCCTTTTAAGATTCTAACAGTTGGATTATTTTTTTCCTCCCAGGATTTTCAGAAGAATTTTTACAGACTGATGAACACAGCCTTAGGAATTGTCCGTCTCTCCAGCCACAGCTCGCTCTTTTGCCCCCTGTCGCTCAGCGGGAGCCTAGGAATCA